GGAACTGCAGAGGTAGAGGTATGAAGTCAGCATATATCTCACGTGCACTTCGTATAGCCAGAACTTACCATCTGAAAGATTCGCTTTGCAATCGCGCCCATGTCGACTGCGAAATTCGTCATTCCAAAACGACCGCCCGCAACAGTGCCCAGATGCACGTATGCAAGGGCAACCTGTGACATGGTACCCTTTTCGAGATGGACGGTGATAAGTTTCAGCGTCGCCTGATAGAAAAGCAGGCTGTTCGACCAGAACGCCGCACTAAGGAGTTCGATGAAGACAGGCCCAATAGTCATCAGGACACGGTCATCAGGAGACGGACGCCGCTTGAGCAGTTCTTCCTTATCGATGTTCTGAAGCGTGCCGTATATCTGCTGAAACTGAGCATCGCACGCCTCCCATGTTGTCGGAGGAATAGGGGAATTGAGCAAAGACAAACAGTCTTTGAGAGCCTGGAATGCACTATAGATGGTGATGTCGTTAGCTAACTGTCGCGATAGTTGCAGTGATGAAAAGCGAGAGGTACACATGTCATGCTATCTTGCAAGCGTGCAACCTGCTCCAGGCGCATGCACGGAAAGGATGTGGAACATTACTTACCCGAAACTGTCGCCGCGAATAGCAAACACCCTAGACTGTAGAATGAATGAACTAGCCATATCGCAGGGATCGCGAGCATGCTGGAAGGTCGTCCGGATCAGGCTAAGAGCCTCATCGAACATGCCCTGGTGCCAATAGCATTCTGCCGAGCGCACAAAGAGTTGCAACGTCTCTTGGTAGGATACGTCTGGCATATTGTCGTTCCATGGATCGTCTTGCAGAAGCATGAGGCTGTGCGCGAAGTAGTAGATGCCAGTTGATCGCGCGCCCGACTCGCATGCAGTTTCTCCAGCTTGATACAGCATATCACGGAATGGAGCTCGCACTGTTTCCTTGGTCTTGATCAGTTCTGCAGCGAGACAGATGTGGCGACTCTGCATGTACAACGCCTTGGAACCTGACGTCGAGTCGTCGTTGTACTCCTCGCCGGAAGTTATCATCTTGGCAATGGTGAAGTGCATCAACTGTGTATCCCATTCCTTGTCGAGGGAGTTCACAGCCGCTGTAAGGTACCGATCGTGACTGAATCTGAATCGAGCATCTTGTTCGGCAGGCATGAGTACGTAGGCTTTCAATGCTGCATCGAGAGCTGTGACGGCACTCTCGTCTCTCTCGAAAAGTGGTAACCTCCCATGAGCTGCGGGCTTGTTTGTGGGCTGAAGGAGCTTCTTCAGAAGTTCGAACGAGAAAGTACCACCCAGGAGGGATGCCCACGCCAAGAGCTTCCTACTGGAAGATGGTAATTCTGTCAACCGCTTTGCTATAAAGTCAGTCGTAACAGATGACCCATACTCTGGACTCTCGAAAACGGCGAAGACTTTGTCTAGGTCGAAAACCCAAGTGTTCTCCCGCCACTCGTAGTACACGCAGCGTTTCCGATAGCAAGTGTCTAGTATCTCGCGTATATAGAAGAGGTTACCTCGAGACTTTTCCTGAATTACCGCTACTAGAGGAAGGATATACTGATGGTCCCGGTGGAGCGTCTCAGCCACGTAGTCGGCCGTCTGGGCCTCTACAAAAGGAAGAAGCTGTACTCTGGTAGCGTGACGCAGTAGTGGGGTGAGTTCTCGGGGTAGGGTCTCTTCGTCGCTGTACGTGAGCATAAGAACAAGCGGAATTTTGGCTTGCACGATGTGATGAATCAGCTCAGCGCTTTCGGGATCGGCATACTGAACATCTTCCAAACTCCATGTGCAGAGCTTGTGCATTGCCAGGAGTCGTAGAACATCTATGAAGACATTCATGAATCTGGAAGATTTCGAAGCACCTCCGCTTCGTAGCCAAGCCTCGGCAGTATGTCCAGCTGATCCGCAGTGAACGGCAGGAGATGATGCCCGTCGAGTCAGATCCTTAGTAGGCTCCATGTCCTTCTGTTGCGGACTCTTTCCGTTCGTGTTTAAGAGCCATTCCGGTAGATCAAGGTAGGTTCGTAACACCGCCCAAACTCCACTGTTCCTGAGGTAATGGCGCAATCTCTGGTGAAATTCCGTCGTTACGTCCGCCTCGCTGACTAGACAGAGAGATGTAAGTTAGTAGCTGGTATAGGGGAACATGATTGTCCAAGATGACTGTACATACTGGCTAACGTTAGTACAATTGCGAGAATTGAGAGTAGTCCTCAGAGAGACTTACCATATTTGGCGGAAGAAAGAAGACATCAGCCGAAGAATGGGGTCAAATGGTGCTTTCTTGGCGGGATCAAATTTAGCCATAGCGAAGTAGCCAGTGCTCCTTGCTGTGCTCTGTACGCTCTGCACGAGACGAGATTTACCCAGCCCGGTGGCACCGGCGATGGCTATCACCTCACATCGCGCCTTGCGCCTTAGTTTTCGCGTGCTGGCTAGAGTTCTTAGGCCATCGTTGGATTGGTGGCTGCGAGAGTAGAGTCCGGTGCTTTCAATGCTGTTGTTGGAACGGCCTCGGCTCGCGGATTGCAGTTGGGGCCGACTGTCCACACTTCCTTCAGCCGTTGATGATTCTGATTGTGCGACACTATCTTGGGAGCCCTGTTGCATCGACCGAGCGCTTTCCATGAATACAGGGCCATCTGCCGAAACGCTGTTGAGCCTGCTGTCGGAGCCTCTGGAGCTAGTGCTTTCGGAAATGATGTCGTCAAATTGCAGGTCTCCTCGTCGATCCGAAAAGGAGGAACCTGAGCTCAGGCTCTGCAACGCTTTGACGTTACTCCGACGATGCCTCGCTACGCGCTCGATCACGTCCACTATGGTCTTGCGTTCTTTCTCACGCCCGATTAGTTTGAGGGGCAAGTTGAAGAAGCAACTGATGTCCTTGGTGCCTACATGGAAGGCCTTCAATCCTTCTACATCTCCATCGTAAAGAAGCTCGCGGATACGAAAGAGATCGAATTTCAAGCCTGAAGTAGAGTGGTATCTCTCCTCAATATTGCGCTGCGTCATACGTTGGATGATCTCTGACAGAGCCTCTGGGATGTCTAGTCGTCTGGAAGAAATTGGAGGAATTCGCTTGCTGATGACGTTCTGCATGACATCGAGAGCCGTAGCGCCTTCGAATGGCGTCTGCCCGCAGAGCATCGTGTAGAAGAGAATGCCAAGACTGTAGATGTCGGTTCTTGTGTCGGGTTCAGCGGGCATTCTACCAGTCTGTTCAGGGGATATAAAAGCCAACTTCAATTCGATGCCAGTCTCTTTTGACAGGGTACTCCAACCAGCGCTTGTCAGTCCGTTCTCGAAAGATCGTGCGCCCGATCCAAAATTGATCATTTTGACCGTCCCGTTCTCAGCGAAATGGAAGGCATCGCCCCGAATTTCTCCATGGACAATTTCGTGACCGTGGTGCAATATTTCCAGACACTCGACTGATCCGACGGCAAAGTCGAGGAAGGTGAGGAGAGGTATTCCACGGTTGGGCAATGAAGCATCTGATTGCCCGCTCTGTCCATGACTGCCAACCTTCCAGAAATTAGGGCCGAAGTTGACCAAGTCGTTGAGGTAGTTAGGCCCCGGGGCTTCGAATATGCTGGCGACAAGATGCTCCTCGCCGGCTTTGGTCGATAGCCTCACAAACTCTATGGGCCGAACAAAGTGCTTGCACTCTGGATCCGACTCCTTGACGACGAGTTTGGCGAGCTGGAACTCGCGTTCGAGCCGCAGAGTCTGCTGCGAGACACGGCATACGACGGTCCGGCCTTCTCTCGCCACACCTTTGGCGGTGGTGTTGGTGCGATGTGTTTGTACGGTAGAGGCGCTTGCATCGGAGCCCGAACTGCGGTGAGTGCGTGTTATGGTTGGGCGGCTTCGGGTCAGGGAGTCAGGCGAATGCGACAGCTTGAATGAGGTGGGGGAGGTTACGGCGCTCCTTCCTCTTGACTGAGGGCGATCCTGCCGGGGCGCTTGCTTCTCGTAACCGAAGAAATGCCAGTTATCATACGACTATTCGACGTTAGCATGGTGCAGCGACAACCTGGGCTATGCGACGCCTCTTACTGAGTGGAAGGGCTCAATGTCCGTGTCCCAGCCATAGTTCTGCAGCTCCTGCAGACGCGCAAAGATGTGCGAGAAGTGCTGCGTGCGCCCGCCTCCTTCCGATCGAGTCATTGTGTCTTTCCGATGTTCGCAACCGCCGGGGATCTAAGACATGCTCTGAGTGGGATGTATAGAATCAATGTGTAGGGTAAAGTCGCCAGGCGCTCGATCTATCCATCACAGCATCAGCGGGGCGCGACTGCCATATCAAGAGCGCGGTCGTCGAGGGTGTTGAGAGCGACGGGAGGGGCGTAAAGGAGAGTCCGGTAGGCTGTTGATGCCAGTGTTCTAGAGGGAGCAGACGCGCATGTGGAGTGCTTACTGATGGCATTCCAGCCACAGCAGACGGACTGCGAAGATGCGCGCTCAGACTTCGCGCTTGTTCTTAGACGTCATAATCGACATGGGCTCGCTGTAGCGGAAGTTTGCGCCCAACGCACCGCACGCAAAAGTAACGTTTCCCTGCCCAGCCCAACGCGCCCTGAAACCAAAACCAAGCACGCATCCGCAGCGAATATCAACGTGGACCATGTGTGGCTGGCATGCGGAGCGTCCCCCGCGCAAGTTGGGACGGCTGTATCTGGCATAGCGGAAGATCGGCCTGGCGCGTTAGCCCTCGGGCTGGAGCCGTTGGTAGCGACATCATCGTGGTTCAGGGCCAGTAGTGCCGTCTGCATCATCTGCATACCGACGCTGCATTATTACCACAACCGCCGGGCGGGTCAGCAATACGCCCAGTCGCAATTTCCCACTGCGACCGACTTTCGCCCCCATAGCACCCTCTGCCTGCCCGCCACTGTTAGACTGACGCTGCCCCACCACAGGCGACCGGGCATCCCTCGACATTTGACACATGCAACAACATCCTTCCACATCCACCCTATTCAATGTCACACAATGGACTCGCCCGACCACGAGCATGCCTATTCAGGCGACCTTGGGGAACCTATGAGGCCACGACAACTCCCCTCGGACCTGCCCACTTCCCTCAATGACAGGCGACCTGTCACCATCATGAATGAGGAAACCGAGATCTACGACGCCTGGCAGGGTAAGTGTCGGATCGGGAAGGCGCAATGAACCACGAGCAACTGACGTCGCCTAGGGCAGTCGCAATTTCTCACCACCCCCATGCCCGCCCGCCCGCTCAGTTTCAACCTCTCGCTCGACGACCCGACCTTTGGCGACGAAGACATGCAGCAGCTCGAGGACAGCGATAGTCGCCTAGTGCAGATGCTGGCCCACCAAGCGCGCCTCAAGAACGACAATGCAGGCGACGAGGCCAAGGTTGTCGCCGACGACAAGTTGTCACACGAGGAAAAGAAAGAGGCTTTACAGGGGCTTTTTACGCTGGCCGCATCGAATGGCGAGCTGGAAAGAGTAAAGCGGCTGCTGGATGGGAAGACGCGGGAATACATCAACATCAACGGCGTCGACGCCGAAGGCACGCCGCCACTAGTCTACGCAAGCTGTTTTGGGCACGAGGACGTGGCAGCTACACTTCTCGAGCAGGGCGCAACTGTTGATATGCAAGACAAGAATCGCTGGACGCCGCTCATGTGGGCCATGACAAACCGGCACAAGGCCATCGTCAAACTTCTGCTCGACCACGGCGCATCGACGGATGTCAAGTCTTCTGGAGGAAGGACCGCGTTCGATTTCGTCGAGCCCAACACCGAGCTGTCCGACTATCTACACGAGAGCGGATACGCGATTGGCAACGTCGGTGTTGGCGACGACTTCTACAGCTCTGGATTCTCTCAGGACCGCTTTGAGCAAGAAATGCAGGAGAACGATTTGAAACGGCGCATGATGATGGAGAGTGCTTTCAATCTCGAGGTTGATATCGGCAACCTTGGCTTGGACGAACAGCCCGAGTCACCTGAAGAGCCAGAAGAAGAAGCGCAGGAATTCATCTGGGACAGATGTCTCAACGACCAGATGTTTGTCTTCCAAGAAAGCGAGCTGGAACGTATACTGGACATTATCATCACAAACATGACGCCGCAGCGCTCTCCGTCGCAAAAGCCAGTTCCCGCAAACATACTCTTCCTGAGTGCCCGCTACGCACACTATCATGCGAACCCGGAACTTCTCGAGACCCTGCTAGTATCTGCCATGAACAAGATAAACGACGTTGTAGAAAAGCACCAGTGGGATATGACTGTGCTGGCCTTCTGGATGTCCAATGCGACACTGCTTTTACATTACCTCAAGAAAGACGGCGGGCTCACGAGCGCGACTACTGAGTTTCAACTGCAGATGGCAGAACTTATCAATGAGATTTTCATCTTGATCATCCGTGACGCTGAGCGAAGGATGGACAAGAACTTGGACCAGGCAATGCTCGACCATGAGCCCATGCCTGGTTTCGAAGACGTACAGTTCCAACACGAATGGAAAATATTCCGTTCCAAACCCAAGGCAAAGCCATTAGAACCCCTCGAGAAACGCTTCCGCCCGCCATCTCCAAAGCGTAGAGCACAGCCATCACCGCGAAACATCACTTCTCTCCTATCATCCACCCTGTTCGTCCTTGATCTGTACGATGTGCACTCTGTCATTGCTGCGCAGGTGCTATCGCAGCTCATTTACTGGCTTTCCGCCGAAGTCTTCAACCGCATAATGTCGAACCGGAAGTATCTTGCACGTACAAAAGCTATGCAAATACGCATGAACGTCTCGACGCTCGAAGACTGGGCTCGTTCCAACAACCGGCAACCCGAACATTACGAGAACGGCTCCATGACTTCTACCGGCGAGAACACCGCGGACGCTGCTAAACGGCATCTCGAGCCTCTGGTGCAACTTCTGCAATGGCTTCAATGCTTCTCTTCACTCGGGGAAGACCTAGAGTCGCTCGTGGGTACTCTGCAACAGCTGACACGTCTGTCGCCCCAACAGCTACTACACACCGCGAAATATTACCGGCCCGAAGTGGGCGAGAAAGGCCTGCCGAAAAGCGCTTCCAAGTACATTGTACATCTGCAAAAAGCTGCCGCTGATCGTAAAGCCGCACGCACAAAGTCGCCCAATCCGCCGCCAGCATCGGAATCCGTACCAACCACGCCTGTCAGGCCTACTTCCGATAAACCTGTCGAACCATCGCCTGCGCCTTCGCGCATGTCGGAGGAAGACGAGAAGGATGAGCCACCGGACGAGCTTCTCTTAGACCCGTCGTACATGCTGCCATTTTCACTTCCAACGTCAACGGACATGCTCATCACCTACGGTGCCGGATTCGGAGGTGTTAACAAAGAACGAGAGCGGAAATACATTCCCACCGTACCCCCCGAGTTTATGGCCAAGTTGGACTTGAATGGAGGCAACAATAAGAATGGAAGCTCCTACTATTCAGAGACGCAGTGGAACGATCCGAGCTATGGGTGAAGATGAAGATCGGCAGTATTGAGAACCCTGCTAATTGAGACCTTGATAGTCGCGTCCACACTGCTTGGTTGAGACGAAGACCGGATTCTTTCAAGTTCCGTTCTACAACATCTCGTTGCTGCTGACCATCGCGTTCTTTTTTGCATTGCCGCATATGATTTGGATACACACATGGCACCTGGTCCGACGTACGGCCCAAAGAGGAATACTCCATCAATTACCCTACGGCATGCAAACCAGATCTGAGGATGCAGACATACTGTTTCGGCTGCAACTGCAAGAACGATGCTGATTCCGTTGCGGGGTGAAGGGTGCAACAGCACAGAAGTTGGATATTACCATAGTATCAGGGTATGCATAGATCTGTTTACCATTACTTCAATCTTTCGCGTCAACTACGGACACATCAATTTTTCCCTATCGTGCGGCCCGCCGGGCAAACAGCGCGTTTACTGTAGCATCGGCCCATCTCACAGCGAGAGGAGTCAAACACTGTACAAGCAATACATTGAATGACTGTCGATAATGAGAGTCTTATGTAAGGCAGCTATCTAGTTATCGGTATCACTCCGTGATCGGCCCGTCAATATCCATCGAGTCGCCGGAGGTATCGGCGGATTCCGATAGCAGCAGCAGTGTTGGCACGCAGGGTCTGGCTACCCCACCACTCCACCATCCCGCCATAACTTCTTGGTAGCCAGCCAAATCCCAAAACATACTTCCTACTTATCTATCTCTTCGGCGTACTCACCTATATTCTTATTCTTCTTGCATATCATACTTTCAAAATGGAGTTTCGCACCATTTCACCCGAAGATGTCAAAAGCGTAGCCACAAACACTGCGCAATCGATACCAATTGATGAAATTGATAGTACTTTCAAGTCCCAATACACTGGTGAGAAGTCCATAACCCTCGCATTCCGACAGAAGATCTAACAAGCATCAAGATCTTATATCTGCACCACTTGGTTCCAAAGTCCTCTCTTTCAGTGATGAATACTTCGCTGCAGCCGAGAATCTCATAACGCCGACTCCAGCAGTCCGTAAACCTGGTGTCTTCGTACATACGGGAGCTTGGTATGACGGTTGGGAAACCCGACGTCACAATACCGAACCTGCCGACTGGGTGGTACTGCGACTGGGTACCGCCAGCGGAAAAGTAGCAGGTGTAGAAATTGACACGGCACACTTCAACGGAAACCATGCACCAGAAATTGCCGTCGAGGGTGCTTTTATCACGGACGAGAAAGAGGAAGAAGAGGTGAAGAAGCCAAGCTACCAGGGTTGGGAGACAATTCTGTCAAAGCAGGAGTGTGGACCTAGCCAACGGCACGGATGGAAGCTGGCAAACATCACTGAAAAGGCGTACACCCACGTCCGACTCCTCATGTACCCCGACGGTGGCATTGCGCGTTTCCGCCTCTACGGTGTCGCCGTGCCCGTGTTCCCCCAATCCGCAGATGCCATCTTCGAGCTCTCAGCAACAGTCATGGGAGGCGTCGCAACATCATGCTCAGACCAACATTTCGGCACAAAAGACAATCTCCTCCTCCCCGGTCGCGGAAAAGACATGGGCGACGGCTGGGAAACGAAGCGCACGCGTGGCGAACACGTCGACTGGACGATTGTCAGGCTGGGCGCAAAGGGCGAAATCGATCACGTTGTTGTAGACACGGCGCACTTTAGGGGTAACTTCCCGCAAAAGGTGCAGGTCTTTGCTGGAAGCTTTGAGAAGGATCCGGCTCATGATGATGCGTCGTGGGTTGAGGTTCTGGAGCCGCAAAAGACGGGTCCGGATAAGGAGCATGAGTATAAGGCTGAGCTTAAGGAGGTGGCTGGCAGGGGCTACACGCATGCGAAGTTGGTGATTATCCCGGATGGAGGTGTGAAGCGGTTCCGAGTTTTCGGAAAGAGGGTGTAAGGGTCCAGATTTTAGGACTGTGGCTAGATGAATCAAGATCAAACAAACTCATTGAAGCTATCCGAGAGCGTTTTCTGTATAGTTGACACGGTAAAGCCGGCATTGACTTGAACTGCGAACATCTAGGTACCGCGGTCCTTCTCAGCCTTGAGTACTCAACAATGTGTTTCCCAATGCAAGTTGCTTACGACATTCGTAGGATACTGACGCCACTGCGTGCCGTTGAAGGTTCGATGATGACCAATGGCCGAGGTTACTTAAGTAGGTTTGACATGTCTTGGCGCCTTGGTAAGGCGTACACGTGGGTCAGACGCATCTCCAACCGCAACCACATCAACGTCCAAGACCACCGTCGCTTCCATTTCTCGATATTTGCGAATTGGTTGCCCAGTATGGAGGAAAACTACGCTTTCAATATGGAGAAGGTGTCGCCGATATGGATCATCACGGCACTTTGTGTAGTGCCTTTCGGCATGTATCAACTTCTCAATCTTCTTAGCCCATTGATGCAGCGATTGACGGCTATGAAGATCTCAGCGGTATGTCGGATGGTTATGAGATGGTTGAGATCGTGTGCTGATGACAGCACGGTTAGATATACATCTACCCCATCAAGTCGCTGCGAGCCGTCAAGGTTACCGAAGCCGTTGCCACCGCTCATGGTTTCAAGCACGACCGTACACACATCACATCCTTAGTCCATCGAAACATGGTTAACATCACCCAGGCTCCTTCATGCTTCTCCAGAAGACCGAAGAAGGCTACAAGAACATGGCGGTAGCCAAATACCCCGAAATGACGCAATTCCTCCAAGAGATGTCCAGCGACACCATCACTGTCAAACACATCGCCTACGGCGACTCATCAAAGGCAACATCAATTCAAGTCCCACTAGAACCCGACACAGATAAGCTATCCCCCATCAACATCGACATGCACTCCAGCCCCACGTCCGCCTTCCTAATGCCCCAAAAGTACAACGACTGGTTCACATCCTGTTTCGGCTACCCAGTCATCTTCGTCTACTTAGGAGCCAACCGACGCACCGTCCAATTCCAAGACATGCAACCCGCGGAACCCTCGCCACTAACCCGTTTTCTCTCCAAATACGTCCCGTTCACTGCTTCCTACGTCGAGAAAGCAATGGGTCTGCACAAGCCCTCAGCAGAAGAATCCTGGAAAATCACTTTCGCGGACTGCGCTCCGTATCTGTTCTGCTCGCAAACGAGTCTCGATGATGTTTCGTCCCGGCTACCAGAAGGTATGGCCATGGATATCGAAAAGTTCCGTCCTAATATCGTGGTGGAGGGCGCGTATGAACCGTACGAAGAAGATTACTGGGGTAAAGTTACAGTAAAAGGCGGGACGGAGATCTTGCTTCCACACAACTGTGTAAGGTGCAAGAGTATCAATATTGACTACAAGACGGGGAAACCGGGGGAGGGCCCGAGTGGAGAGGTGCTGAAAAGGTTGCAGAAGGATCGCAGGATTGATGTAGGAGCGAAGTGGAGTCCGGTGTTTGGAAGGTACGGGTTTTGGGGGAAGGGCAGGGAGGAGGTGTGGAGGGTGGGGGATCGGGTTAATGTTGCGAAGGTCAATGGTGGGCCGACGGTTTGGAGTAAGTTTATGGATGAGAGATTCGATACAAGGATGTGGAAACTGACTGTGCACAGGTTGGCCTGGTGTCGGATAGAATTGGTACACTCTGCTCATAGCGAGTGTACTAACGAAGCATTACGTTAACGATACGTTGGCTTTACTGATGACAAAGCCCTGATACCGAAAAAAGAGTTCAAGCGCATATCCTTCCTACATTTTCGTGTGGTTCCGCACGCCTGCAACTCCGCCCCATGCAATTTTCCTAGCCTCTCGCTTCTTCTCCTCATCCCTTTCAGCCTTGTCCCATCTTCGTGCTCTATCATTCATATCCACCGCTGCAAGATCGAGCTCGTTACTACCATACATCCAAGGGTGGAAGAATTCATTAGTATTCCAGAGATAAAGGACAGGAATATACTGGTAGACTACCGGACACTGTTAGAAAAACGCCGACCGCCAAATCATGATCGAGAGGAAAACTTACACAATATACCCATCTCCTTCATAAGCTCGCGCGACGCCATTCTAGCGGCATTTCCGGGGCAGCAGTGATACAAGCTCACTGTCGCTAGATTGGGAAATAGCGTTGGCTTTGCCCTGGCTACATGTTTCACCCACCTTTCTGCCTCCCTACCGAGACAGTCGGTTAAGATAAGCCGTTCGAGCTTGGACGGCACGACTTCTTTGTAGTACGCATATACAACATTGTCACTCGGCAGCACAAGCGTGCGTAACGAGGGAAAATACTTCGGAATACCACGCACAGAGCCTCGATAATCGGACCGGCTGGAAGGCGATGTGCGGAAGTCGTTGGGTAGTTCGAGTACGGTGAGTTTGTGGCTGAAGAGAGGGAGGAGAGGGCTTAGATCAGGGGTGTGGGCTGGAAAGAGGCTGCTATGGTAGAGCAGGGGTTGGAGAAAGGGGAAGTTGTACAGTATCGAGCCCCCGAGATACAGTTCCTGTAGATTGGGTAGCATGGTCAGCACAAGGCTGAGGAGGATGCTTGGTCCATCGTATTCGTTTCCGGCATGCAGGGATTCGATGAAGTCTTGTTTCGTCAGAGGATCGATGTCTAATGTGCTGATATGGCTGATGGCTTTTGATAGTAGCGAAGGATCGAGTGCTGGGATAGGGTTCGGTCCTATGCACATTCCACGGATTTGCGTTTCGATGGTCAGGCTGCGGATCTTGTATCGCAGGTCTGGGTACTGGAAGAGTGAAGCGAGAAATCGGTCGACCTTGCTTGAGTATAGTATTGGTGCGCAGAAGAGAACCTCTCGGGCAAGTGGTGCTAGTTGCTTGCATGTCGAGAGCGCATTCAGTAAGTCGGCTTGGGGATTGGGATGCTTGACACTTTTGGGAAGGTAGTGCAGAATTTGGAGAAGGACCTCGTCTGGGAGCTCAAGGAGTTGGCTTGCCATGCTGGAAGAGAATGTTGGTTGAGAACGCGTACCGAACAAGAGTTCACAGCCGTTATGGAGGGTGAAAGAGCAGAGGGACGATACTGTTTTTCTCGGTGCGATGTGAGTGATCGAAATCGTTTATACACAAGTGCTATAACGCTGTAAAGTAGCGAACGTTGAGAACCACGGTTGAGATGCATTGAAACCAAGGTTTACAATGGACGAGTGATGAAAAACTCAGGTTATTGCATAGTGAATAGGCTCTCTAAATTCATCAGGGCTATGGCGAGGGGCGGTTTTTGGAAAGACTAACCTTCGTAGGCATTTATGCTACCGGGTGCGGCTAGGACTCGTGTAGCATACGTCCCATCAAATTGCCAATAAATACATAATGACAAAAGTAATGTATACTTCTACTTCGAGGAGTTCCTTCACATGGTGCGACATAACTGGTAGCTACCCCTAGTAGTGCTATCAATTGCATTGAGAAGCTATCAGCTTTCACTCAGGCATCAAGCTTTCGACAGACAACACCACAACTTGTAATAACATCTTTCATTACGTTCTCTTCCCACTATCAACAACATATGATATGATGATTTAGACTTGACAATAGTAATAACGCAAACAAATTGCCTGTTCCCGACCTTTGACAAACGCCATGCTCTTGCGCGCATGTCCTTCTAATGTGATGATGAATATCCCAACCCAGAAAACGAAGAGGCCATGAACAGCCATCTTCGACTGAAAGTGCGTACCAATGTTTGTTCTGCCTATATGATTTATAAGGACTCCTTTTGTTCGAACGCCGTGGCAATGTGGTAGCGATAAGGATAGAGACGCGGTCGTGAAACGGAAGCCGTAACTGTATGTACAGATGTTCGGAGAGGGCATGTTCACCATGTTTCCTGCGTATTCGTTAGTATGTGTAAGGTAGGCATGGTTTGGAAAGTGTACTTACGGCGATGTATTGTCCGTCCTCCTTCTTCCTGGCCCAGAACTCCTTCGCTTGCGCTTCGCTCAGGCGGCCCTTTTGCATCGCAACATCAATTAGGGACTCTTCAACACCTTCGCCCATGCCCTTACTAGAGCCACAGACAAAGATACGGCCGTCGAGAGCATTGATGACGAACCAGACGATGTCAGCCTGTACTCGCACCTCGTCTTGGACGTATTTGACCTCGTTGGAGCCTCCCACCTTGACCTTCCGGCTCTGGACGACCTTTTTGATTTCGCGTTCGTGGTCGCCTAGTTCACCGGAGTAGAGCTCATCGAGCATAGAGTCTCGGACACCCTGGATGAGCCAGATCTTGTTGGCGCAATTGGCATTCTTCAAACGGTTCAAGATGAAGCCACGGAAAGGGGCCATGCCAACGCCCGCTCCGATGAGCACCATAGGGCCTTCACCACCAAATTGCTTCGACAGCGGGTTCGCCATGAGTCCGCGGAACATGGGGATGCGCAGATCGAGGATGCTGCGGGGATCGACGCCTTCATTCTCGGCTGTGATGAAGGCGTGTGCCATGCGCTCCATGAAGCCACTGCCGACACCTGTGCGCGTGGCACCCTCAGCATGCCAATCGGGTGTCTCGTGGATTGTAACGGCCATCTCGATGAGACGGCGTGTACCGGGAAGGCCGGGGCGAGCAGACGAGATGTGGGGATCGTTCGAGAGGGAGTAGAATCGTGGCATCAGCTGGGTGAGGACGGAGAGGAGGTGCGGTAGCGGCGGCTTCGATGAAGGGAAGGCGCTGAGCATCTGTGAGACTGTGAAGTGAGAAGTGGTACGGAGGTCGCAGAAGGCTGCTTGTCCTTGGGCTGAGCAGAGGTATGTCAGAATCTTCTTCTCGTTGGGGGCTTCGGCATACTCGGCGAGCACGCGAAGGAGGTTCTTGGTGGGCGGGTGCGACTGGATGTCGGCACACCAGGTCAGCAGTTCGCGTCTGGTTGTGACAAGCTCGCGCGCTTCGTCTTCGCCCCAGATGGTCGGCCATCTTCCAGTCTGCGTCTTGAGTGTGACTGGCTTGTCGCGGACAAACTTGGGGATGCAGAGGAGATCGAACAGCTCATCGACCATTTCCTGCGAGTTGGGAGGGCAGATGCCGACGGCACCACCAACCTTGAAGTCGACGCCTCCCTCGTCGGGGTAGTCGGTAACGTCGATGTCGAAGTGGATGGTTCTCTTCTCAGCGCCCGGCTTGGTCAACTCGCGTGCGTGGTAGAGCGGCGCCGAGTAGACCTCGTAGGGCGGGTGTGGCTGAACGTACTTGGGCGGCGTCTTGTGCACCTGCGAGACGTACTTGGTGTCCTTGGACGGCAGAGGCTCGAAGGACATGTTGGCGGGAGGGAGCGGAATTGTGTCGGTGAGCTCGCTGTCGAGGGCGAGCGGGCCCAGCTGGAGATTGAGGCTCCGGAAGGCATGGTTGTCGGGGACGACGACGGGTATGAAGTTGGGCGACGATGCGTCCGGGGCCAGTGTCTTGAGCAGGCAGCATCCTCCGCCGCAGCACTGGCTGATGAGCTTGGTGGCCGTCTCACCCTCGCCCAGTATCCGTCTGATGTCGTTTGGGTTGTCCGAAATGAGCGTGGTAGATGCGCGGCGAGGACGCGTCTGCCCAGAGAAATTGACAGCCGAGGTAGGCAGTTCCTGTAGTTTATCGACTACTTCCTCAACGCCCGGATCGGGCTCCGTCATGGGCGTCATGGGCGCCTCAGACTCATCGCTGCTGGTGGTCCATAGTGTGGACTCGCCTGAAGATTTGGGGGAGGTCTGCTCCGGCTGCGACTGTGCCGGCGAGGGCCGGAGTGAGAGGTGTGGGATATCCTTTGGCTCGGCAGGAATTGGGTCGTCAGGGTGGGAAGTCGACGTGGTAGGGATGGGGCTGGGCATGGTGGCTGTCGAGGTTGCCATGTGCCTGCGTGGAGTGAGGTGAAGGAGCGATGGGCGTGCTGCCGGGGACGCGACAAAGGGGACTGCTAGCGCGGACCATGATTAGCAAGAGCTGACTTGGTATGGCCGTAGGGAATTCAATGCAACAGCAAGGCGCGGTGCAGGTGTGCATGGCGCGCTTGCTTGTTGAACCGCGGACGACGGAGATGTGCGACCGCAGAGCATGTGGGGGATGGTGGTGGTTATCTGATGCTTCGATGCAACCGAATTTCTTATCAGATCGTGGCATCACTCACCTCGACTGGCTGGCAAACGAACACGACCGAGTGGCAGCCGCGTGCGAATTCCCGAGATCGGTGACACGATGGACAGTGACTGTGAATAGATTCGTATTGGGCGGATTCTAGCCGTGGCAGAGGGTGTGGGCATGAGGTGAGGCCTGGTGGTGATGGACAAATGTTCGACAGAGGCCGCGCCCGGACGCTTTTCCTACTGCCGATCAACGACGCCTTCAAGGCTGAGATGAGCATCCCGAACGCCCACTTCTGCCGAATGACGCTTGTCAGCGCCCCATCGCCGAAACCGCTCGTATTCCCACTTGTCATGTCCTACTTTATCCGACATAGACCTAGATCAAATCATCTTGCGACTATCTTGGCTGCGCCCACGGCATCAGCCCCATCTCCTGATCATGGTACTCGCCGAACGCGTTATATTACACCACCAGCCTTCACCGCAATTACTATGAGCTGAAGTGCACGCCTTCTCGGCACATAGTCGCGCACACTCTGTAACATGCCATTGTCACGCCGCCCGGTCCTCGGTCTCTCGGCGGTTATCGCATCTGATAACCAAACTTCGGCTCAGAGCCCGACCCCGCGAGCTACCTATCGTGACTCCGGCCGCTGTTCCTCTCTGAAGACACTAATCCTGCCATGTTTCCCCTCATCTTGAGCGCATCCAGTGCCTTCGCGAAAATGTCGCGATCGGGGCATTGCAGCGCTATTACGTCGTTGCAACGCCACACGAAAACCTACCGCACCAAGACTTGCGTTCGCCCAATGTCAGGATATGCCTGATACTTACACCCGTATTCTAATCTAGACTGCCTCTAAACATGTCATTCTACGCCACGGCAAGGCTGACAGACCATCACCCACCACCGCGAACGCGCGCAGGGTCCGCGTCACTATCGTGTTCCGCCATGGTGGAAGAACGTTGAAAACGCTCTCTTAGCGGCCCCACACGCCTCGAGTCTCAATTGCAGATCTGTGATGCAACTGTCACGACCCTGAATTCTGGCACTGTTCCATTCGTCACTCTGATCTGGAGGTTTGTGAGATCACTGAGAACCCTTCTTACCGCTTGTAGTAATACGTGACTAACTCAGCTGCATTATGACGAAAACCCATACACCACCCGGAAAGCAAAGTCGCGATGGAACATCACGGTGAGTTCATGATCGATTCACACTGGGCAGCATATGTCTATTCGATACCGATGAGTGGAACTAACAATCGCGCTGCTTGTCCAGCAGCCTGTCCGAACTTCTCCCCCACTTTCCGAACTTGCGATTTTCCAAGATCTGGTTTGGGATACGGATGAGGGTCAGCTGGCGATGCGATATGCTTCATTAATTACCCACCTCAGTCCGAGTACAAAGCCAACTGTGTAAAAGATACAATGATTCGATCCCTGATCTTGATCATACGAATAAAAAACGAGGACCCTCACTTACGGTCGTACATGGCTGTACTTGGCACATCGTGCGCTGCAGAGAAAACAATCTAAGGCTTGGCAGATTCTTCCAGGGTTCATTGCAGCGTTGAGCACGACTCAAAAAGAACAGCGAACTTCGGGTGGAATGAGCTTTCCGTAACGACTGGTTGTGGTCCTGCAACGACCGTGGTCGGGGGTTGATGCTTGCGCTATGCGTGCGCTGATTGCGTTTAGCTACCGAACTATTAGGTCAAGCAGTTTGTGTGTGCACCCACACCCACTCGTTCGAAAAGTGTGCATAGCCATCAAGTTCTGGATCAGATCCATGGTGAATTGCGATCACCAATATCCAAGCAGCCCGTCTTTAGGCAACCTACTCTCAGTACACCAACCACTTCCTTCGTCCACACTCCTGAGTCACCCATTAAGTACTTCGCGCAAGACCGTTCTCATTTCCAAGACGCGGTACGACTGCATTGGTTAATCTGCTATGACGATGACCGATGAGCGATGCAAGGAGATCTACACAGAGCTACGAGATCTGTCGAGGACTGGCTACAAGAACCCAGACGGCAGCCCGCGCCTACATAGAGACCCTTCAATCGAAACCAAGGTCCAAGCGCGCATGGAGGTTTTGCTCCCAAATCATGTAAGGATATCCTCGTACAAACTGGTTATGATGAATACGCTGACTTTGTACGCTATGATGCAGGACAGCCTAGAGAAGTACAAAGCCTGGTGTCGTGAGAGGACCAAGCTCAGTCGACAGCTTCCAGAGCCTGCAAGCGCCGACGAGATCATCAAGGCCATAGGAGAAGTGGACTTACTCGACCCAATTTCACGCGGAAACCTATGCGACCTACTCGGGACCGACTTGTACTCTCATATCGACATTGGAACGTATGGCAAGTACCACTACTGTCTGAGGCCAGACCTATTCCAGTTGAGGCCGGAAGATCACGACATTGATTGGAACGACGAACGCGAGCCGATGCCTAGTTGTATCCTTGGTATCAACCTGTCGAAGACAGTTCCGTGGACGGGAGACAGACGTAAGGAGCACAGCTCGGACGAGTCTGGTAGCAGCAACATCTCCACTGGTAACGATGGCACCGGGTTCGTATTCACGCAACTAGGCAGAGTGTGCTACCTCGATGACTCCAGAAGGCAGAAGTACCACGACGACGGCAAGTTCCCCATACAGATGCCGTGGTTGGACTCCGGCTTCGTTCTCGTTGTAGTAGTCCGAGACGACGGAAGTGCGGGAGCCCCGTGGCTGCTATTCAACTTCATGCCAGTACACGAACTGGAGGGCTCCAGGTTCCGCATCCCGCAGACTGACGACGAGTGGGGGACGCTTCCAGGCTCTGGTCACCAGTACGTTGCCTTACAGATTGGAGATCGAATTAGCGAGCTCCGATTTGACAAGCAATGGGTCATGACGAGCCGGTTTGGTGGAGACTACAGTCCCCAGCTTGTCGCCGTGGTAAATACGTCACCTACCTCGAGAGGACAGCTCGTGCGACAAAAGATCTTTGAGAATAGTCGTTGAGGTGGCTAGAGGGTGCAGACTGAAGGACGATTGAGTTGCACTTCAAGGTGGGGGCGGTGAAACGGCGAACGGGGATATCTGCATGCCGGACCACCCGCCACATTTCCGAGTTTCCAAGGTCTAGTTGGGGATGCGCAGGATGCACGCCAACTGTTGGAGTCCACCGTGGTCAAATAATCATTGCATTCAAGTTCGATGCAGTAGCAGTCGTACCAGGTCCAGACGTTTTGGAAAGCCGTGGGTCTGATCTTTAGAATGAGGCTATTACATGGGTAGGTATCACTACGCGAAACATACACCAGCTGGACAGGCTAAGTCCACCTTCACGAGCATGGAATCGCAGTACAAACACATTGAGTGTAACTATTTGAAGCGAAAAAACTGATGTCTTTTTCAATCTGGAAAGGGTTCAGAGTTTGGATCATAGACGATGTGACTCACTGATGGTACCATGGTTCACCCGCAGAGCTCAAAGTTGCCTTTCCACACCGCAAGATTGAAATTGACCTCTCTCTCCCTCTTTCCTTCTCACTCAAAATTAAACAAACAAACGAGAAGATACCATGTCATCCCTAACCGACGCCGATTGCGAGAAGATCTTCGCAGAACTTATGGCCAGCGCCATGTCGCAAGCTGGCTATCCCAGCCCCAACGACGACAGCTCTTCCCACCAGCCCCGAGACCTGGAACAACTCCTTCCCGACATAGCAAGTATAGACAGATATCACGAATGGCGACTCAAGCAAATGAATCAAGAGGCAGAGGAAGCAGAACGCATCCGCCACGACCAACCACGTCCAACCGCCGCCGACCTCATCAAAGCGGTCCAAGAAACCGACTTCCATGATGGAGAATCGCGCGAAACCGTCTATGACATACTGAATTGCATAGACAAGGGCGCGCTCGAATGGGGAATGCATTGCGACTACCACTTCGGCCTAGTACCTGATGGGTATGTCAAACTCATATACGAGGATGAAGACGTGGACTGGGACGATCAACGCGAGTGGCCGGAATTCGGAGATATACTTGGCATCAATATGTGGAAGAGAGCATCCGATACCAAGACCGCAGGAGCCCAGCCCAACGACATCGAACCGGACCAATCTGGACTCACGAATGAGTCCAGAGGGAACGACGCCACGGGCTTTGTGTTTATGCAGCTGGGCCGGGTGTTCTGTCTTAAAGACTGTGACTTGGAAAGTAACAAACAAAGGGCTACAAGAAACGAATGGCAGGTATCCTGGTCTGACTCTAACTTCGTCCTCGTCGTAGCTATCGAGGAGAACGGAAGAGCAGGCGCGCCGTGGTTGGTGTGTAATTTCAATCCAGAAAATGATATTGAAGGCGATCGCACCAAGATCCCGCAATCAAAACGGTTTTGGGGTGATACTTTAGGAGACTATATTCAGTACAAAGCTCTCAAGATTGCCGACGATATTGGGGAGCTCAGACGAGGGAAGGCATGGGATGTTACGATGAAGTTTGGCAGCGAGTCTGACATACAAGTCGTACCCGCCGTCTTTGATGGAGAGGGGAAAGAGAGGAGGCTCTTGCGACAAAAGGTTCGCAAGGAAGAGCTTACGGAATGGGTTGAGGTCTAACCTCCCAGGCGATATTTATACATCAACGTACCCCGGCTCACGATCTCCTACACCAACAAACAACACATAAGCTTTCAGCCTCATGGAATACGCTTGTCATTAAGACTACACAGCCTTCCCATCTAATACTTCCCACTCTCCTTAACCAACCCATTCTTCTCATTCTCCGCCTTAGGCTTCAACGCCCACTCAGGCGCCTCATCAATCTCATCCTCCTCAGCCTTATCCCCCTCCTCCTTAGTCTTATGCACACTACTCGGCAGATGCTCCGCAGGCGCATAGACCGTAATCAACTCGAGCGGCTGATCCCCCTTGGTAACAAACTGATGCTGTGTCCCAGCCGGCACAACAACAACATCACCGGCTTTAACCTCCTGGTCCTTGCCATTCACCGTCGCCAGCCCTTTACCGGATGTGAAAAGCAGGATCTGGTCGACAAGATGGACTTCATCCCCGATCTCGCCGTTCACGGGGACTTCCATGGCGACGATTTGGGAGTAGAGGCCTGTGTGTAGGACGGTGCGGAAGTCGCCGAAGCTTCGCTTTTCGGACATGAGGCCGGGGAAATGCACCATTTCATGTTTTGGGGGTGCGTTCTCGCGGTTGCCGACTTTCTTCAAGGCGTCCATTTTGGCGGCGTAGAGGCGAGGGGTGGTTGTGCTGAAGGATTTGGTGACGGTGACTGGGCTTCGCTTTGTGAATGTGGATGTGGAGAGGCGGAGGAGACGGGATGTGGTATTGAGCATTAGGGAGGAATTGGTTGAGATGGATGGGTTTCAGGGTCGAGTAAGATGGGGATTATATGGCACGTTGCTTTTGCATCACGGTATACATCGCGTCAGCGCGCGTTAGGTGTGGAGGGTCTAGACTGCGTGGTATGCATGACGTCACCATCGCGTTACCTCACGATGTACGGGGAGATTGCCTGTTCGGTACGCTAGTGTGTCCAGTAGAGCCTTGATTGGTAGCCTCTCATGTATCAGGCTGCGGTGCGTGCTATGAGTGGTGTCGTACCTGATTATGTGATGACATGGCGATGCAGGGTGCGATCAGGGTGCTGAAGGAGCTAGCGGAGCGTCCCGACATGTCTTGCAGAGTACAGAGTGATGTTGAGAGGAGAATGATTGTTTGATTATAGCTGCAAGCCTCACATGCTTGGGTCGTCAGAACGTGAACTATTTCCTAGGCTATGGCAATATAAGAGCGTGATCGTAGAAGTTCTCGTTTTGATCAAATAGTACCACTCAAATAGCGCCATGCAAGAGCGACACCACTCTCTGGACTCCCTGCGGAGCGCATACTGCTTTTGGGATGCGTGTTTGGGCCCAAGCGTGCAGCAACCCTGGTGCTGTGTGGAGGTTCATTGTTGGTGGTGGGCTTGTCCACCGTTGCTTCCATGAAGAAGCAGGAGAGTCGCGCAAAATCGCCACGACTGCCATTGAATATGATACAAATAAAGATGCAGCTTCACTAGACACGGTTGCGGCCAGCAGCTTCTTCCTTCTCCTCATCAAGCTCTCGCTCGATTTCCTCTTCTTCCGTAGGCTTTGGGGCCTTGACGTCCTTAGCAGGCACGTCACCACCGCTCATCTGCCATTCCATGAGTTTGTTGAATGCGCCCTCTGGGTTCGAGCTGAGCTGTTCGTAGGTGCCTTCCTCGGCTACCCTACCTTCAGAGTCGATGCAGATAATACGGTCGGACCGTTTGATCGTTGATAGACGATGGGCGATGCTAATAGTTGTGTTGTTTTCTTGGAGAAGCTTGTTAAGCGCTTGGTTCACAAGAGTTTCAGACTCGGCGTCCAGAGCACTCGTGGCTTCGTCGAGGATAAGGATGTCGGGCTTCTTGATGAGTGCTCGTGCGATGGCAATACGTTGCTTCTGGCCTCCGGAGAGTTGAGTTCCTCTTGCGCCAGCGTGTGTTTCAAGGCCATCAGGCTGTACCTGTTAGCGGGGCTCTCATATGATAGGGGTTGTACGTACGAAATCGCTGATGAACTGGCAGTTGGCCTTTCGGGCAGCAGCCACAATCTCAGCGCGAGTAGCATTGGGTACGCCGTATGCAATGTTCTCCGCGATTGTGCCAGAGAAGAGTACGGGCTCTTGACCGACGTAACCGATCTTCCTCCTCAGTTGCTTTGCGTTCAAGGTGGTGATGTCTCGGCCGTCGATGGTTACGGTTCCGGAGTTGGGGACGTAGAAACGTAGAAGGAGACTGGCGACCGTAGACTTTCCAGCTCCACTGGGTGCAACGATGGCTACATTGGTACCCTGCTCAATCCTGAAGCTGAGGTCCTTGAAGATGGTAACCGCTGGTCTGGTCGGGTAGCTGAAGTTGACGTTCTTGAATTCGATGGGGCCTCGAGCCGACTTCACTGGTAGACCCTTGGTGGGCGATATTGTTGGGTTGCGATCCTGGAGTTCGAAGAGACGACTGGCAGCTCCAACACCCTTCATCATCTCACCGTAGAAGCCGGAAAGACCAACCATACTAGAACCAGCATAGACGGTGTACATCAAGAACGAGGAGAGCTCACCGATGGAGATGACGCCGTTCTTGACCATGTTACTACCAACATACAGGATGGAGATGATGGTCAGGTTGCCCATTAGTCCAGTACTTCCGTAAAAGCTCGCGGCAACTACGGCTTCCTTCTTTCCTAGAGCGAATATCCTCTTGATCTGCCGGTTGTATCGCGATGCTTCTTGAACCTCTCCAGCGAAGGCTTGACTTGTTCTGACGTTCCCTAACCGCTCTTCGGCGATCTTAGTCAATGTTCCCAAGTTCTTCTGGATTTTCCGACTGAGGTTTCGTAGCGATCGACCGGAGAAAAAAGCGACGAGGGCGACAGGCGGGGCGATCAAGGCGAGAATACCAGTAAGCTTCAGACTGACGAAACCCATCATGGCGAAACCAGCTGCACCGCTAACGAGCGCACGTAGACCATCCGACAAATTTTGTGTGATGCTCTTTCCAACAATGATGGTATCCGAACCGAGACGGGAGATGAGATCTCCAACCCTGTTGGCGTCAAAGAATTCGGCGTTTTGGACGAAGGTCTTGCGGTAGAGCTGCGATCGAAGACGTGCGACAATGCGCTCTCCAACGATTCGAAGGATGATGATACGTCCAAAGTTGAAGGCAGCGCCGGTCGTCAAGACACCTGCCAGCCCGAAGTAGAAGATAGACGGAGAAACACCAAAGAGTAGCCCATTGGTGTTCTCAGTCGAGGTAGCGGCGTCCAAGATCTTGCCAATTGAGAAGGGTACCGAGAGAGAAATGCCAGAACCAAGGAGCAGGAACAGGAAGGCCCAGGAGAGTACGCCGAGCTCAGGTCGGGCAATTTTGATCAGCCTCCAGATCTCCTTCATGCCGCCTGGCGCTCCTGAAGAGCCAGACCCGTCTTTGCTGAGTTTGGCGCTCAAGTTGACCTGTTTCGCCTGCGCTGCCTTTTCGGACTTTGCAAAGCCTTGTTCCTCGTTCTCGGGCTCGCCATCGTGCTCTTCCAAGTCTACGATGCCCTTTTGTTTGATTTCCTCTTTGTATGATATGCGCTGCTTCGCAGGCTTGGCATTGCTCGAGGCTTCGGCTAATAGTCGCGATGTCGTGAACATGCGAGCTGGTGTGTGTAGGCCATTGTTGCGTGTGGTGCCCGCGACTGCGAGTCGTAGTATGGATGACGGTGCGAAGAGAAACGGCGCGCAGCTGTTCGGTGACGTCTTCGGTATTGAAGCTTTCGGTATCGGCGTGGTAGCGAAGGATCTCGAAATGGCGGGTGTTATCGTCGAGATGCGCGACTGTATATTGGAAAAGAGGGCTCCGTTGCCTGGGCCGTGCCAGGCCTTTGCGGAGAAAGCCAGCGGGGCGCGCATGGCTGGCGGAGGGTAGACGAGGCAGCTACCGGACGTGAAGATGGAATTGGGGCGTTATTGAGGCATTCGACATGGCCATGGACGTGCGGACGTGGGAGTGGACGGCTTCGGACATGTCAATCAAAAGTTCGGCGCCTCGCTGATGACGACAGGACCGCCGCGTCGATCGCTTGCGTGCCGCGGCTCGATCTCCGAGAGTCCCTGAAGCAGGGCACTACCAACTTCACGCCCGCGTTCAAGGGTCTTTGCAATGATCACGTTCTAGATGCCCAGTGTTTTTATGGATGTCTATTGTCTCAATGTTTGTCACTGCACGACGTCATCGCCGCGGGACGCTGCAGCTTTGAGCGCTCCAGGTCGTCTCCTTGTTCACCCCCACACCAAATCGACGACGTTTCTACAAAGAAGTTCAATCTCTCGAACGAAGAAGGCGCGAATATGACTCAATAGATAGCTGCTACATAGGGGTGGCCTTACGGCTCATTCGCAGCATGAATGGAAAGTGCGACCGCCTGAGTCATCTCCACTCATACACCAGGCGTCAACGAATGTCTCAGCCCCAACAGCGATGCATCTCAGAGTATGTTTCACGTTTACACATAACTCGTCGATAAGTTACACAGTTGTACGGTAGCATTGTCCGTAGCCATGGCGTCCACACCTGAAACCCAGACACCCATTCGTCTAGACGGCACAACACTCGAAGGCGGAGGCCAACTTCTACGGGTAGCCCTTGGCCTCTCGAGCCTGACCAAAAGTCCAATCCACATCATCAAGATCCGGGGCAAGCGCTCCGGCGGCGGGGGACTTAAAGCCCAGCATTTGACCTGTGTGCAGTGGCTAGGCCAAGCAAGCAATGCGAACATCGACGGTGCAGAATTCAAGAGCAAGGAAATTGCTTTTATTCCATCCAAGATCGTCGAACGGTCAAACAGCTTACTGAGTGTTGGCGACGTGCGGATCAAACAGAGCACACCTGGTAGCGTGAATCTGGTCCTACAAGCTATCCTACCGTACATCATCTTCTCTGGAGTTGAAGCGCCGATACGTGTATGTATCGACGGAGGCACCAATGTTTCCAACTCTCCCTCCATCGACTATGTTGTTCAGGTCCTCATACCAATGTTGAAACTTATCGGTACACCACACATCGGCATTCAGATCCATTCGCGGGGCTGGTCACAAGGGAGCGCTACTGTTGGCAGCGTCACGTACACAATTTCGCCTCTGAAAGAAAGACTATCAGCGTTTCAATTACTCGACAGAGGAGAAATTGTCAGTGTAACGGCGACCATCATCGCACCCAAAGATACTGAGCGGCAGTTCCGCGAGGAACTCGATTTTATGTTTGAGAAACGCCAATCTCGTTTCTTCGGCGATACGGGCGATCGCCATGACAGGGTTGACACTACCTTTGAAAATTCACACCACAACAAGCGTTACTACCTCCTACTAGTAGCTACCACGTCCACCGGCATGAAGCTTGGCCGCGATTGGCTATACGATCGTGGGTTCCGTGCTGGGAAGCTCGAACAGATCATTCCTACCATCGTGAAGAAGATTTCCGACGATTTGTTGGCGGAGATTGAGCATGGTGGCTGCGTGGATGAGTACCTACGCGACCAGTTGGTAGTGTTCCAGGCACTCGCTAAGGGAAGGAGTCAAGTGTATGGGGGAAAGAGCGACGGCGAATCGGTGAAGCCGAGTCTACATGCCAAGACTGCGCAGTGGGTAGCAAAGGAGATGCTTTGTGTGGAGTTTGATGACGAAGGTGGGTGTGAAGGCATTGGGTTCTTGCCAGGTGATATGAGTCAGTATTATAGTGCAGACCATGGTCTTGCGAAGCATCTGGATAGCATGAGCATCTCTTCATGAAAGCACGAACAGTTACTATCAAAATGTCTCTGTTAATCCCTATCCGTTCTACAACGCATACCTAAAATGCTTCGCCTGCTTATCCGTCAAATCGCTGAATCCATCCCGAATGGCCTGATCATCTTCTCCCTGACCATACATCCTATCCCTCCTCTTGTTCTCCCAACCCATCCACAGAGCCAGTACACCTCCAATCACCACCATTGCGCAATAGCAAACGATGAGCCCCGTCAATGCCGAGAAATAACGTGGCGCCTCCCTCGCGAAGAAGATATTGGCTCCTGCAATATTGCCCGCCGCGTAGAAAACGAACCACATGCCGTTCGCAGTGCTACGCTTCGTGTGACCCGCGATGTTTGTCGTAAGCAGATTCCAGGAGAGAATGACCGGAGCGCCGATGATGTACTGCAGCCAAGTACATCCGACAAGGCTCCAGCGTTCCGATAGCGGCGTGAGTCGAATCCCCAACAACCCGGCCAGCGGTGGCAAACAAACCAGAGCCAGGATAAGACACCTTGTATCCCTGAAGTAACCCGCCGCAAGTCCACACAACGGCACAACAACAAACTCAATAGCCCCAGTCGGAAGCTGAAGCAACGTAGCATAGATACCACTAAACCCGAACCCCCGAATAAGGCTCGACGAAAAGTTCGACACACCGCCATTGATAACTCCACAGCACAGCCCAATCAGACTAATACAAAGCACCTTGAAATCCAGCACCGCCTCCAGCGCCTGATGTTTCTGAAACTGCTTCGTCTTAACACCAATCATATTGCTCGCGATACGATCAATCGCCACAATCCGCTGTTTATGGTTCAGGAACTTGGCGGTGGAAGGACTATCAGGCATAACCCAGAGGAACACCCACGCCCAGACGAAGTTCAACAGGCCGATGACGAGGAAGATGAGTTGCCACGTTTTGATATGCGCGGAATGCGCGTGACCGAGGCCGTATCCGAGGAGCGCACCGACCATCGTTGCCATGCCGTTGAAAGCGAGGAATACGCACATGCGAACGGGTTGTTCGTCGCGGCGGTAGAACATACTGACTATGTTCATGATGGCGGGACTGATACTGGCTTCGAACATGCCGAGGAAGAAGCGGAGGGCTAGCATGCCGGAGTAGTTTTTCGCTGCGACGTGGCAACAGAGGAGGATGGACCAGAGGAGAATCATTAGGCCGGTGTATTTCGAGACTGGAAGCCGCTGGATGAGGTAGTTTGCGGGGAGTGCCCAGAAGAGGTAGCCGAAGTTGAAGATGGCGGCGACCCAGCCGTACCGGTCGCCTTGGAGACCCAGGTCGGGGGTTAGGGTGTAGGCGTTTGCGTAGTTTAGGGAGAGTTTGTCTAGGAATTGGATCATGTATGTTATGCAGATCTGGATCTCTTAGCTATGCTGTCTCGTAGTTGATGACATGAGTTGAGAAGAACGTACCATCGGCATGATGACCCAATCGATCTTTCTCAAGACGACTTTGCGTTCTGCTTCCAGCTCTTCTCTTGAGTATTGTTGGACTTCGAGATACAGATCTGCACCGATATCGCGCATCTGCTTCTCAGCAGCAAGTTGCCCCTCATCGATGCTAGCCTCTCGCGCTGGCGAGATCTCCTCTTTCTCTCCCATGTTGAATCTGTACAGCTGCTGAACCGGCTGTTGGTGCTTGAAGTCCGGATGCAACTATTGACCTGAGATGTGTAGAGGCGAGATAACCGAAGACCCTGGCAACGACTTCTCACAGGCGACAGTAATGTTCGGGGATACAACACAGACAACGAGGTCATGACATCTGTACTTAAGTGCAGCAGTTGAGGCCTCCCACCCTTGGCAACGGCCGTGAACGCAGTTATCGGCTATCTTGCCAAGGCAGTCTTATCGTTGTGTTGAGCATTGCATATCGCTACCTAGGCCGGCCGTAGCATATGCAGGTGGATGATGTTGCTGCACGCCATTGGTGTTGTTGATCCTTCGGCATGTCGAATCGGATAATTCCGCGGGTACAGTTACCCTGGTTGGAGTAGCCTGAGATAGCGCGCGAATGTAATGTCAACTCCAATGCTGCGATTACGATATGGGCTCGCAGCGCTTCTGCTCACCTGTTCCATACATGTCATTGTTAAGAATCGGGATTGCAACAGCTTGTCCAAAGTGTCCAAAGTGGTAAATGCTACTTGTCTCGTATTTGCTACTATGGGGGTGCTGGAATGTTGCATCTGGCCATAGGTGTGGCAAGGAGCAGCGCCGGTCATGCGAAATCCTATTTCCACAGACCGTACGGGCCGGATGTGAACTTCCAGAGCTTGACTGTTCCATCCTCACTGCCTGTCGCGTAGAGCTTTCCGTCAGGCGAGAAGCTTGCCGACCAGATAGGTCCGTGATGGCCCTTGTTGGTCTCGAGCTCCTTCTCCTCGTTGAAGTCCCAGACCCTGACCCAGGTATCATTCTGGTTGCTACCACCAGTAACAAACTTCCGCTCCCCGTTGTGCAGAGCCACGCTGGCAATCTCGTATGGTGTCTTGATGCTTTTGATGAGCGATCCGGGCGACTGGCTGTTGAAGAAGTAGGCACTGTTTCCAGCAGCTACGCTCAGAATGCCCTCCGAGGAGGTGTTATCCAACTCGCAAGAGCCAACAGTGCCTTCGACGGCGTGCTCGCCGATTGTAGACTCTTGGCGTAAGTCCCACCACCGCACCTTCTTGTCTTCGGCGGCTGTGATTATGACGTTCGGGTCCGATGTCCACACGATCGACTTGATGGTTCCGGTGTGGACACCTGCGCCAATCTCGAAGCTCGTCGCGTCGCTACGTGAAAGGTCGTATATGCGCAACTTCTTCTCCATGCCTCCTGTCGCGAGGATCTGAGGGTGGGGCTGATTGGGGAACGCGACGGCGCGTACGATGTGGTTGTGCGAGAGTGTGTGTAGGGCTTCACCGGTGTGCGTGTCCCAGACCTTACTGTGGAGTATTAGTACTCGCTTCCCTCGCGGTAATCGGAAGCACTTACGCAGAGAAATCCGCAGAGGCCGTCGCTGCCAGTGAGGCATCCGAGGAGAGTCTCGCTTGCCAGACGGCGCCCTTGTGGCCCAGGAAGGTGCCAATCCAGTCACCCGTCACTCCGTCGCGGAGCATGGGGTTGTTATCCTTGCATGCTGATATAATGTAATATTGGTCCTCGTCGACCAAAGACGAGAAGTGAATATGCGGCACAGGTCTCGAGTGGCCGTGGCAGGTGAGGGGCACGACCTTGGTTGTCTCGGGCATGGTGGGCAGGTAAGGAGGGTGTGTAGTTTCGACGTAAAGAGCGAGTGCGATAACAAGTCGAGTGAGCTGAGCAGCTGCAGTCTGGAGCGGTGAGGCGTGATTGCGCGAGGGCGTGTGTTCTAGGTATGGCTGGTCGCAGACGGTTCCGAGCTAAGTAGGAGCCACGCGGAGTTTCTCTAACAGTTCAGAAAGACAGAAAAGAGAGCGAGAGATGCAAAATGGTCGTCAATGGGTCGTAACGTCGTTAAAGTGGCAGGCTGGTGGAATCGCAAGTTCATGGACAGCAATTCGAGGGGGAAACATTGGAAAGTTGAAACCTAGCTCAGGGTGGCCTGTCGGTAGTGCCGGACATCTCCGCTGCCGAGGCAAGACCGCGCTACCACTCTTCTAGCTACGCAAGAATACCCAGGTATTATCATTTGCTTTCTTGTCCTTCCTAACTGAATTTGTCTTCCTCGTAAGACAGCATTTCTGGCCGCCAGTCTAGTTGGTAACCACCACAACGAGGACAGTGACCCTTCCAATCATTTTCCTTCAGCTCGGCCATCAACACAATATCATAGACGTCTCTGACGAATCCACAGAACTCTCGATGTACAACGGCATCTATAGGGTCTGGGTCGTCTGATCGCACTTGCATCGACCACCAACCAATGCTACATTTGAACACTGAGATGACCCGATCCCGGAACTGAGCAAAGTCGTACTTGTCACCGACGCGGTACAAGCCTAAGCAATCTCGGATGCTACGGGCAGTACGAATAACGTTGTCAACGTCATCCAGACTTGGTATCTTTTGATCGTATGCAAAGTTGAGCATCAAGAGTAGAGCATCGGGATCGTCTTCTTTCAGGGTGATCTCTCTGGCGGAACTTTCCTTCGTGCGTCAGTAAGGGATGCATCTCTATCATCGGAAGATAATCCTACTGCAAACTGTCCAGTGAAAGCTGCCTTGAACCAGTACGACATTGCGCTTAGCACTACTTTGTGCGCTTCGAAGGTCCGCTCTCCTGAGACTCCATATCGAATCGTGATGTCGGATAACATCTTTGAATTTGAGTAGCTGGAACCAATATTGTCAGTGTGCCTTTCTTCAATGTAGTTTACGACTTACCTCTCGAAACCGAGCTTCTGTCGCTTGTGTGGGTTGCTGGGGGACTCCATTTCGACTGTGTTGAAATAGAGTTATTGTCGTTAAGGAAGAAAGGAATGTTGGACATGAGAGAAGGACCGTTGTAAGCAGATTGCGTGCAAACAAGTAGCAGCCGAACCCAAGAGCCTCTCACTTGTCATGGAGCTAAGACTGGGTAATAATTTCTCTTACCCAAGCCAGATGGTGAAGACTTCGGATAGGTCTCAGCTCCATTTCATGCACTTTGGTACATACAGATCACTAATTACATCAGGTGTGTGATAATCACTGAGACAATACGAACAAAAAACTACAAAGGGACGGCAACGTGATCATAGTTCAACACATGACTCGGACAGCTCGATAACTTGGACATAGCACATAACGACAAAGACGACTTTACTTTCGTCAATCCAGTGAGCTCAACAGACACTTCCAGTTTGGCAGATTCACAGGTAATCAACGAAGTCAGGGGGGGTATTTCTGATTAGATGTTACTACAGATTAGGATATATGTACAAACGCGTCCCGCTATGGACGCTGGAAGATTGCGTAACGCTCGAAGCATGACCGTCATAGCTTAGCAGCGCCTTTATAGGGAGGCGTCGACCTTGGCAGCGCCGAGGACATCGGCGGAGACGTCAATGTTCTTGACATCGTCGACGGTGGAGCCGACCTTGTCGGTGGCGGTCTTGACGGTAGATCCGGCTACGCCCTTGACGTTGTCGACAACAGGGGAGACAACACCGGAGACAGTGTTGACAACGGGCTCAACGGCACCCTTGACAGCGTTGACGGCAGGGTCGACGGCGCCCTTGACAGTGTTGACAGCGGGCTCAACAGCGCCCTTGACAGTGTTCACAGCAGGCTCGACGGCACCCTTGACGGTGTCAACGGCGGGCTTAACGGCACCGGTGGCAGTGTTGGCAACAGGCTCGACGGCACCAGTGGCACCACCAACAACGGGGGCGACGTCAGGAACCTGGCGCTTCTCAACAGCGGCATCAGCGGACTGACCAAGAACGGAAGCGGAACCAGTGGTGTTCTTGACGTCGTCAACAGTGGATCCAACAGTGGATCCAACAGTGGACTCAACCTTGGAGGTAACGCCATTGACGGCACCGAGAGCGCTGTCCTTGACGTCGTTGACAATGGGGGTAACAAGGCCGGAGACAGCGCCAGTGACAGGGGCAACAGCCTGCTCGACACCGTCGACAACAGGCTTGAGAGCAGACTCAACACCGTCAACGACGGGGGCAACGGGGGCGGTGACACCCTCAGCGATGCCGTTGACGTCCAGGTTCTGGACGTCGGCGAGAGTAGATCCAACCTTGGAGGTAACGTCGCCAGCAACGGGGACGTCGCCAACAACGGGCAGGCCCTGGCGCTTGCCGATGGATGCGTCGATGGAGGCACCGAGGGCATCGACCTTAGCATCGATGTTCTTGACGTCGTCGACAGTGGAGGTGACCTTGGAGGTAGCACCATTGACGAGGTCACCAGCGACAGGGAGCTCCTGGCGCTTGCCAACCTCAACCTCGACAACGTCGTCGAGAGCCTCGACCTTGGCGTCAGCACCGACGTTCTTGACGTCGTTGACAGTGGAGGTGACGCCGGAGGTAGCACCACCAACGATGGGCTTGACGTCAGGGACCTGGCGCCTGGTGATGTGGGCACCAACGTTGGCGTTGATCTTCTTGGGGTCGACGGAGGCGTCTACGGAGCCGAACTTGGTGCCGACCTTTGCGTTAACACGGCGACCGATGGAGGCGTTGATCTTGGGGCTTGCGACACCCTCAACCTTCTGTTGAACTTGTCAGTTGAGTGATCATAAGACGACTTGTAGTGTACTCACGTTGACGGTGGAAGAGACGCCAGATGTGGCGCCACCAACGACGCCATCAACCTTGGGGATCTGGGGAATAACAGCGGCGTTCGCAACAGCGGCGGCTGCAAGAATGGCGGGGACGTTGAAACGCATCTTGGGAGAATTAGGGTTCTTGGAAAGACTGTAAAATAGTTGGAGCAAAAAGCGAGTGTCGTAAAAAAGGAATGACTGTGGATCTGTAGCTGGATGATACTACTACTGAAGTCGGAGCCGATAGTACTTATATACTCACCCACTCCAACGTCTCTCTCCTAACGCCACACCATGTACAAGTGTGGCAGCACAGTAATGTCCGGTATATCACCGTTGTGTGCATTAGGAAGACCAGTAGGATGTCGATCGACATGACGAAGCCTGATTCCAGGGTGTCCGTAGTTGATCCACTGGAGAGACCCATGCATTCGGCCATTATGAAGTGGTATCATGAACGTAGATCGCTGTTGGTGACCCCACAAAGGTGGAAACCACCAGCACGGGTCCTTTGCCCCGCTCGAGTAATTTCTAGCTGGAGTATGGCAGATTTGACAGCCTCACCGTATCTTGTCTTGAGGCTGGCAGCTTGGCATAGGTACTGCTGGTCGTGACTTTTCCAGGTATGCATCCCTGGATTCATTTAGTTCGCCTTACCAAGAGGAACCTTAATCAAGATGACTTCAAGGGCATGCGCCATGCGCGACGCCGCTTTCAGTCTCCCAAAGCTCTTCCTATTTTGCTGTGTCTCTAACAGTCCCGAGTCATAACCTGTGCGCTTCAGGTCATCGTGTTGGTGTCGATTGGGATCGGCATCAGGGGTAGAACTGCCAGGGCGCGGAACTCGCGGCTTCGATGCGGACTATCGTAGACGTCTCCTGCGACTCATTGGTATGACCCATTCAGTGAGAAAAGCTTAGATAGGGCTGCCATCGCACTGGTATCGACGCTGCATTGGTCGTTCTCAGAGCGGCTCTTTGTTCCTTGTCAGTGGGTTGCAGTCCGCTCTGCCACATCTCACCGTTACAACGTGAACGATCGGCCCGTATGCGCGTCTTCTAGTATAGACGACCTGCAGTTTGTCGTCTCCAGCTACTCAAGTATACTTGAAGTTGCAGTCCATTATGTGGTCGCGCAAACTACTGGGTCGCGGTTTTACAGAAAGTACGGTGGTATTTTTGCGCGATCGTCGGAAGCCAGCACTCAGGCACACTCCTTCCTGGATCGGTCCGAATGTTCCCCAAGCGGCGTAGCGTTGACCAATACAGCTTAGTGCCTTCACAACGCGCACGGTAAACCTTCCATGACGCAGCCTTTTGTTGATATCGCGCTACAACTACGAGACGGCCGTTGGAGATTTTACCCGTGTCTTGACTCTAGCTTTACCAAACTGGTGGAGGATTAGCGTTGTCTGAACGAATTGGGCTACCAGCAATTTCCCGACGCGTCTCCACGCCACGTGCCTGCTCCACATCGAGTGCCCGTGTCGAGCTACACGCAAACCTCAGCTTCAAGTCTTCTGACTATTGAATTGGTAGTCCCAAGGCCACTATGCTAGTCTTTCACCGGATTGTAGGTGCAGTCGTACTATGTATCTTTTCGCCCAGTTCGACGATGTCACACGGCAAGCTCTGCCTGAGAATTGTCATCAGTAACGACAACGAAAAGCATGTGCCTTGAGCTGCGGAGAAAACCGTTGGTGGACGATCACTTCAGCGATCGAATCGGTCCGAGTCAGCAGCCTCCCGCCCCTGGACCGTTTATGAATGCAAGGGCACTGGCCGCAGAACCACATTAAATCTTGCACGGTCCGATGCCGTATCTCGAGGTGCAGTCACACTGCGTACTGGACAGGATATGAACACCGGCAGTATCAGAGGGCTGTCCCTCGAAAGACGCCCCCTATCAGGCCCTTCGAGTACGTAGACGTCCGTTTCATACACGCAGGGATTGCTCCTCCACCACTTGACCACATACAAGTCCCTGTTACGCCGGAGCTGCATTGATGTCATCCCCCGAGGAGGTCGGAGTACGGTCACTGTTACGGTTGTGTCGGTGTACTCGATGATCACATCACAAGACTCGTCTGTCGTCTAATCAGCACTGAGCTTGGAGACAGGTTCGATACCAGCGACGGACCGGATTTGCCCGCAAATGACAAGCCACGAAAGGAAGTACTCACAACAATCGTTTGCGGTGCAACAATGCATATGCGGTCGTGCAACGAAGGCACATAGCAGCTTCTGCGATTTCCTTGACGACTTCACTACTTGTCTCGATGGCTCGATTGGAGTAGGCGACAGTCTTCTCTAATGTACACTATGTCCGCTACTGTCCACTCTCGAGGAAGCTCGTGACCATTGCACTTGCTACCCGTTATATGGAGACAGGTTTGCGACCATTCACTCGAGACGGAACCCCCTCCCAGGCAACAGCACATGTTGGCTAGGGAATCTTGCTTGAACATTCCCTATCTCGCCTCGTTTGGTTGTACTTCGACCCCATTGCCCCGCACCTCTCACCATGTCTATCCTAATCGAACGGATAGGAGGGCACATGTGTAGTCAGACGGGTGCCTACTAGCACCTGCCTGTGAAGTTACTCTTCTTTTCCTTCATACGATCGCTGTTATTGATACTCTTTATTCGTGAATTTACCCCTCCGCACGCTCGCAGGCTGTTGGTCTTCAGCCATGTCGTCCTCCACAGCCAGCAGTATCCCCAAGGCCAGTATCAGGGACCTTCCCGACGAACTACTTCTTCAAGTCATTCCTCATCTAATAGTCGAGCCGCGCTTCGACCGAAACGCCTACGGAAATCTAATATCCCTCGCCGCTGCGAACACTCGCTTTCCCGGAGTCATTCGAACCACCTTTCACGAGCTCAAAGCACTTACTGTTCCCCTTCCGAAAGCATTCGCCTTGTTTCGTACGCTCCGGGATTTCCCCGCCAACGAATGGGCGTGCGATCTTGAAATCAAAAGCGAGCGAACTTGATTGTTGGGCTCAATGTATCTGTACTGTCAATCTAGAAACGTATCTTTCATCTCATACTCCACCTGCTGCCCAAGTCAATAGTAAACACTCAAGTACGTGACATAGGTATATCTCCCGTCGTAGTGACGCTAGTCGTACTATACCCATATATAAGAAGAAAGCAAAATGGTATTGCTGCCTTCGTGCCCTGGAACTGTAGCCATGACTGATACGTCGGCATTGTGATCGTTCGGCTCAACTAGGACAAATGCGGGGGCAAGCTAACTCTATTCCGACGCACCCGAGATCGCGTCTGGGCAGGGCTGTGCGGGCGCTTGGTTACCAGCCACCATCTCGCAATTTGCCACCTATCGTCTTCTATCCACCATCCACCATTTCCCATTCCCGTAGCCGAGATGTTTCAATTCGCGATCTGCTGGTGATTCCATGTGAAGTGTGCATGGCACACCGTTGAGATGCTGTTCTTCGCAAGATCGCTAGTTGAGTATTGCGCGATTCACGATTGATCCGAGTGAGCCGAGTGAGCCTTGACTATCTAGGTGCTGTTGAACCGTGTGCATTAGAGGCATACCAGATCACCAAAGAGATGAAATTGGTCGTGTGAGGTGCGAACGTATCCTTGGTATTTAAGCTGACAAGATGCGCAAACTTGACGCCAGGGCGCAGGCGCCGAGCCTGCACGCCTGACGCTCAGCCTCGCCATAGATAGGCGTTGGGGGCCGCTTACATCTATGTTAGATACAGCTCCGCCCTGCTGCATGGGAAACCTCACCCCAAATCCGTTACACTTCAACTTCGCTATGAAGCTCATTTCCTTTGTTATAGCATTTTACCGACTCTTCCTCGTCACCGGAGCTGCTCCGCTAGAGCATAAGGACGATGACTGCACCCAAACCCACAGCTCAAAGGCGACCTGGGACACCGTCGATAAATACACCGTCGAGTTATTCCAAGCGGAAGCTACATTGCGACCTGAACCTAACCTCTGTCTGTTCTACACGCGCGGCTTGAGCGAGACGGCGCGCTGTTACGCGAAAACCAGACCAAATGGCGAGTCTCCAATGACAACAATATGGGTATTTGCATCTTCGCTACATAGTCCCCGCATTTTGCTGATCAAGCCAAGGATGTCTGGCCCAAACAATACTACAACAGCGAAGCCACGAGAACGAATCCATTGCGCTGCATCATGAACAACGAAACCTGGCGAACACAGTATTACACCAACATGTCCAAAGCCTTCGCGTCGCTATGCAAAGTTTTCGCAACAGTCATGGACGCCAGTATTGGACCGGGCGCAGATACTCCAGGTTATGTCAACAAGGGAGGTCTTTGGTTTCAAGCGGAGTTTCCAGTCCTACAAGAGCAGAACAAAATGCTCATGATAGAAGCCATATCGCCAGATGGAAAAGTCGCATGCACATACTGGACGAAAACGGATGTTGTCCAGAACAGTATCCATGACACAAACATATACGGACGTGGTATGGCTACGGGCAGCGAAGCATGGTTGGACATATTTTCGGTAGCTGACCACTCGCTACGCGAAAACTGGCATATGGGCTTGCAGGGCAAGTAACGTTTATGAAGTTCAATGAACAAATTATTAGATACACCACAACACTCTCGCATCTACCTTCTTCGGGTGCCCTATTCAACCCACCCTTAGCTCGGATTCATCCTCCGGTCCGGTCCGCGTTATTCCTCATGTATGTCCCAATCTTGCGAACGTACTTGAGAAAACCCCAAAAATACCTTGAAAAAGCGATTGTAATGCATACAAGGCTCACTACGTAGCATTTCCGTTGAAATGGGCACTCGCTGTCTAGACAGTTATACCGGGTCACCACGGCGGCGACGCCCAAAGACGAAGCTGCGACAGTGATAGCAGACCTAACTAGCGGGATAGCGCGAGCATCATTTGATGGGACTGCATGTCTTTCCACGAGATAGTCGGGGCCATTACCCAAGGTGCGGTCGTTCTGCTTAATCGATCCCAGGGCATTCTTGTCGGCATCAGCGCGGGCGATCCCCGATCCAGGACGCTCATCCTTGAGCATGTACCAGAACGAACAGATCAGAATACCGTATAGTAGTAGCTGATGCCCCAGCACGTAGAACAGGAACGAGGATATCCTCCAAGGTTTAAGGAGCTCGTGCGGGCGCGCTCGATCCAGATGTACCGCATACGCGAGGCTGAGGGAACCAAGCATGGAGAGGAAGGTCCCGGGTATGTAAAGATAGCGCCAATAGTACCAGTTTTGTTGTACGAATTTGTTGAGGGCAGATTGTCTTGCGCTC